CCGCTCCTCGGCTCGCTTCGCCTCCCCGACCCCCTCCGATCGCTTCGTTTCCCCTTCCCAGTCCTTCCGGTTCGACGATCCGGCCCAACCGAGGCCCACCAAACCGCCTGGTTGCCCGGACACCGGGTTCCGCGCCATATCCGGAGCCGCCGTCAGCGCCAACACCTCCACCCCTATAACCGTCCTCCAATTTGACGATATCTGCGATGAGGTCAATTCTGATGCTGCTGCCGGTCAGTATCATCATCGTGGCTACAATGCAAAGACCGGCAGCAACAAGGGTTTCGTGGCCGGAGCCTCCAGGGCGGGCTGTAACAGTGTTTCACTGGATGGGTTCGAGAGCACGTCCTCATTCAGTGCCTTGCCCCTGCAGCGGGCCCCGCGTGGATACGATCCCCCCTCGGCCCCCCTGGAGAGGGCTTTCTTTATGTCCGGCCCGATCGAGCGTGGGGCTCTCTCCGGGCCGCTAGACGGAGCTGCCTCCGGTGAAAACAATGGGGATGTGCCATTCTCAGCGCCACTCGGGGGCATTTATGTGAAGAAGAGGAAGAAGAAGAAGAGCATTTCGGGAATGCGCAAGGCATTGTATCGGAACTTGTCGGTGGTGCCTGTTATGAACTTCATTAGTGGAGGAGGTAGGAAAGAACTTCCCCCTGCGAACGATGGCTCCAGGGAGGGAGTGGAGGTTGGCTACGAGAGCAATGTGCAGTGGGCTTTAGGGAAGGCGGGTGAGGATCGGGTGCATGTGGTTGTGTCGGAAGAGTTAGGTTGGCTGTTCGTTGGAATCTATGATGGATTTAACGGACCTGATGCTCCTGAATTTCTGATGAGCCATCTCTACAAAGCAATGCATAATGAATTAGAGGGTCTGTTTTGGGACAAAGAAGATGTAGTGGCAGCACCAGAAAACACAATTGGTGCAGGGAATCCATCTGATGCTGACAGAGAAGGTCCCCAAGAGACGCAAGAAATGAAAGGCGTCAAGATGGGATCACAATCACAAATAGTTAAAAAGGTGCAGTTCGGAGGGGAAAATATTGAAGTTAGAAGGAGGAGGTTATGGGAATTCTTGGTGGATGATGATCCAGGGGAAGGGCTCGATCTATCCGGTTCAGAAAGATTTGCATTCTCAGTTGATGACGCGTTAAGTGTAAATGATGCAGGTTCAGCTGTGAATAGGAGGTCATTATTGTTGTCTAAGCTAAAACATGGGTTGCTGAGTAGGCACAAGGACAAAGAAGGTAGAAGGTTGTTTCCTTGGAAATTTTGGTTGGAAGGGAAAAACAAAACAACAGAGGAAATGAGGGAGAATAATAATGTAGCAGATAATGAGAGGGAGAAGATTGGTAGTACTGACCGGAAGAGGAAGATTGGTGTAGTTGATCATGAGTTGGTATTGAGTGCAATGTCCAGAGCCCTTGAAGTAACTGAGCAAGCTTACTTGGATATGACAGACAGGGTCCTTGATCGTTACCCAGAGCTTGCATTGATGGGTTCTTGCTTGTTGGTTGTATTGATGAGGGATGAAGATGTGTATGTGATGAATGTTGGGGATAGTCGTGCCATTGTAGCCCAGTGCGAAACTGAAGATATAAGCTGTGGTATAGAATCACAAGTTCCTGAGGATGGTGGGTTCACTGGTGACAGAATAGTTGAGGAGTCTGCCAGTGTTAGTCAGAAGGAGAGTAGGGCAGTGAATGAAGCTCATGCGCATCATTGCGTGAATTTGACTGCACTGCAACTGTCCACTGATCATAGCACAAGCATAGAAGAGGTGTGCTTCTGCATTTTCATTTTTATTCTCTTTGTGCAAAAATTTATATGGCTGATAAATTGATTTTTGTTTCTCCTGGGAATAATAATTTTGAAAATTGAAGGTAGGTACTGGAAACCTTTGGCTTTATTATTCTGAAAAATTCTAGTATGAGAAGGTTTTGTTGTGTATGTGTACTTTTTGCGTATAACGTACAGACACACTTATTGGTTTTTATTTTAATACTAAGAGTTTGTCCTCGTACGATTTAGTGAAGTGGATTGCAGTAGATTTAACATGATTTGTATTGGCTTAACTCTTAAGCATTCATCATTAGTGGTTGTGCCAACATTACGATGATGGATCCATAAATCATGTCAGAGAAATAAGATAGGGAATCGAGTAGCGTTTTATGTGACGAAGATTTGTGAGAAGAAATTTTGAGGTACTCTGCGGCTGCAAGTTTCTAGGTTTAAAATGTTTCGGAAAGCAATGCAAGAACTTAATCTAGTTAATGATACATGTCTGATTCACAATTTTGTTTGCCGTCCATGTTAGTTGTCACACAATAACCTGGGTAAATTACAAGGAAACTAAGAATTGATTGTGAGATGAGTTAGTAGAACTGGGTATCTGTGCAAGAGAAGTGATAAGCATTCACACAATGAAAGGAGTTATTGATGTAAAAGTTCTATTATTTGTAGTGGTTTAATGTAAATATAAAGGCATTGAGGAGGAGGGGGGAGAATATATTTCGTTATGAATTTTAACTTGGGAGACCTCCATGAAAGATGGGGTTAAGATTTTGAGTTTTTATATATAAGAAAATGCAGAACTGAGAATAGTTTGTAGAACCAGATAGCGAAGTGACTCGTCTTTTAGAAGGTTAGAAATCTCAAATGCATCTGTAGATTGGCAATTGGCATTAAATGTTTTTCTTAAACCTTGACCGTTGTCTATTAAATGCCACAATACCTTAATTAGGTTGAAGCAAAAAGATTTTCTAAGATGATATACTATTGATGCCAATTGTGAAAGTCAGTCAAAGCAATCTAGGCAAGCTCTCTTTCAGGACGCAGTGACTCAAAGGATAAAATGTGATCTATGCTTGACCCATTGCTCATTTAAATTTTTGAGTCATGAATATATTGAGAATAGAATGATACATCTTTTTACTCAATAAAATATTTCTTACATTGCCATTATAGGTTACTTATTTGTTATTCACATGCCTAGAATTCCATAAAATAATTCGGGATTATAAAAAATTTAAGCGCGCTATAGGGGGGCTATTGTCGTCCCCCCCTCCCCAACTTTTAATTATTTTTACTATAATATATATATATATAGGCATTTTGCCAAGCTTTTGCTATTTCATACCACGTACAATATATAATATATATTATTAGCATATTTAATTTATACATAAACTCAACAATCATTACTAGTTATTCAAATGGTCTATGTAATAAGAATTTTTAACTATATATATTTTTTTAATATTTGTGTTTTTCTTTTGTAATATAGTGATTAATTAAACATAGTGATTAATTAAACAGAATGTAGAAAATATTTGCAAAGTTGAAATAAATAATTTTAAATAAGGGGGTGAAAAGGAATTACAAGAATTATTAGTATATAGTCAATTGTTGACGAGTCTCGTGATTTGAAATAATGTCGAACACAAATTTAAAATATCAAACTTCATAAGTTATGTCTACTGTAGAGTAATTTTATAATTTATGGTATCGAATTTAGAATGTAACTTTATGCCTTATATGCATATATAAGTGATAGTATTAAATATTGTATTTCCTTCTAGAGGTGTTATTGGAGTCGAATTGTATACCTCATGATCAAGCTCGTGTTTGTTTACTAAATGTGTTGGCTTGGTTTGACCCATTAAATAAACAAACAAAAACGCGAGCTTGAGCTTGATTCATTTAATAAGCAAATTTGATTAGTTGCTCGAGTTTTCACGTGTCAATACGAGTTATATTCGCGAGTAATTCGTTTCAAATAACAATTCTTCCCTCCAATTTTTCTTATAACTAGTTAGTACTTACATTGAAAAATGGGTGAAGACTCCTAGAACTACCTAATGGGACAATAAATAGCGGGGAAAAGGGGCCATTGAAGTGGGACGGAGAAGGTATCATTCACCACAGATATATATATATATATATATATATATATATATACCCATTTATCGATAGATAGTGATAGTGTTTTGGGTTGTTAGACATATATGAATGTATTGTTTAGCCTTCAATACGTTGTATGAAAATGGCAGGGATCTTAGTCGGTTTGATATTTCGTAATTGTGTGTTTAGTTGGAAAATAAGGGAATCTGATTGTATCTTGAGGTCTGGTTGATCAGTATGATTCATGATCAAAATGAACTCGAATGAATTAATTCAGAAAGTTATCAATGCATTTCTCTGATCTCCTTTTGCTACTAAACCATCTTCTAAAATCCTTTAGGTAAGATATATTAAATTGTTCTTTCTAAATTTCCTCGACTGTTCTCTGGCTGGAGTACTGGGCATATGTATATCAGCTTTATCCATTCTGTTTATTCCTTATTAAGTTGAAATCAAGTTGATTTTTTCGAAATATTACATTTTGCTATTCATTAGTTAATCTACATGCTCGTCTTTTTCAGGAAGTCATTAGAATCAAGAATGAACACCCAGATGACAGCAATTGTATTGTGAATGATAGAGTTAAAGGTCGTCTTAAAGTAACCCGTGCTTTTGGGGCTGGATTTCTCAAACAGGTGTGCGCATCAGCTCATAATCAATGTATTAGTTTCCTTTTTTACATCTGTGGATGCCTTGCATGTCAAGGAATAAACAACATAGACCCTATCCCATCGATCTACACTGGCAACAGATCTTTCAGCAGATCAATATCATTTATCAATTCCAAGGCAACAACTCCTTTTGGACTTGACGTAACAAACTACGCAAGGCCTGCAAACAACCAGGATAGCTCCAGAGAATTGGCCTACACACCACATACATGGATATCTTAATTTATCTAGAATGCCATTAGCTCAAAGTTTATGAATTTCAAAATATACTAAGAAGTGAGTAAGATAAAGCTACCAGTAAAGATCTTAGATTGTAATTCGAGGAAATAAGACTTAAATTGCATTTATCGATCTTATTTAAGAAATAACAAATGAACCTAAATATTATCTTATAAAATAATTAGAAAAAAAAAAATTATAAAATAAAGACAAGTATGCTACATAACGAGGGGCCAAGAGTTAGAGATGCAAAACAAAGAAAAGTCCCAAGGCAAACTCATTGCCTCAATGAATATTGATATTTCAACATCTATAATGTACTTTGACGAGCTCCCGTTATCTTTTTCATTTTCCTTATGTTTTCTTTACTCTTTTGTTTGTTTTGCGCTGATGCAGCATAAATGGAATGATGCCTTGCTTGAAATGTTTCGGAACGATTATATCGGTACTGCCCCTTACATATCGTGCTCACCATCCCTACGCCACCACAAACTGTACCCAAGAGACCAATTTTTGGTGCTGTCATCTGATGGATTGTACCAATATTTTAGCAATCAAGAGGTAGTTTCCCATGTGCAGAATTTTATGGAGAGGTTCCCTGATGGAGACCCTGCTCAGCACCTTATAGAAGAGCTTCTCTTCCGTGCTGCCAGAAAAGCTGGTAAACTTTCATATTTACAGATTATTATGAATTATGTTTATTATAGCTTTTGCTTTAACTGATTAGTAATCATTGCTTTGGCATGTTGTGCCAAATATTTCTCTGTCATGCATCTCACTCCCTTAGGCTTATTGTTATTGTTATTATGGTTTGTTTGACTTCATATTTTGCCACTGTCTTGTAATCCTGAGTACAAGGCAAAAGGTAAGAGTTTAAACTGAATAAGACAGGAAGACATAGATTTATGTAAGCTTTGCAGAGAAAAGTTATGTTAAACGGGAGAAAATTTGTTGCTGCCTATGACAATTATTTCACTATTTCAGTTTATAATACATGTCTGTATACTTCTTTTAATGAAATGGAAAACGGTATAAATGAAATCGAGATGTATGCTTTTTTGCTATTCATGTAGAGATTTTTCTGTCCATTGCTGGGTTCACTTTTTTTTGAGTCGTAAAATTTGCCTCCGATGTTTTAGTTTTGTGACCCGAATAATATTTTTTTGGCAGGAATGGATTTTCACGAGCTTCTAGATATTCCACAAGGAGATCGTCGAAAATACCACGACGATGTGACTGTTATGGTGGTATCCCTTGAAGGTAGGATTTGGAAGTCATCTGGAAAGTACTTATGAGCCTCATTTCATAGCTAAGGAAAAAAAAAAAGGAACAAAAGAATGTTATTATCAGGAATAGGAAATTTTGTAGTTGCTGCTGTAAACTTGTTTTAGGAAAAAGCAGGACCTATTTTTATTTTTCTATCTTTTTTCTTTTTTTTTT